TTTTTATAACAATCCAATTAAATTGAGTGTGTATGCCACTGAACTCTTCGGAACAAAATTGTACTGACCAGTAGAAGAAAAATATCATCAGGGGGAGACCTGTATTTCACAATCAATCGTCAAAGAATTCAATCTCAAAGGTTACCAATTAAAAGTTATTTCAAGCCGGCAATTTCTTAAGAATGCATCTAGTTGAAAACATCTGATAGTTACCCCAGAGTGATGATTCAACAAATAGTTGGCAGTAAGAATACAAGATTTTCCACGTGGAACAAAAATTGTAAATAGAAAGAAGGCTGCATGTTATCAAATTCACTCACTAACGTTACGATCCGTTGTAAAAAGGTACATGTACATGACCTATTGTATCATTACGAGTAAAACTTTACTGGGAGATCTTAAAGTAATCGAGAACAATGTAAAATATTTTCTTTTAATGCGTATTACTATTAAAAAGAACCTCTTGAATTTGTTGTCCAGTCTAATATCATTTTCTCTATCGGAATCAAAAGCGATTCTTTAAATTTCACTGTGAAGGAAAACAAGTTCAGGAGTTATCTATAACCTAATTTGTCAATGTGAAATCAAATTGTGATAGTTTCGATTATTATAAAAAAGTATTATTTGGTGCAAAAAGCAATCAATTTTATTGAGGTGCCTAAGTAACACTAACTGGGGGTGCGGAAGAGATGTAGTGCTTAGGTTTGTAAGGCATTTGTCATGTCTATAATGGACTAGTGTTATGTTGTCAATTCCTCAGCCAGAAAATCTGGCTTAAATTTAGACAAATACATTCTGCTACTGCTACTATATTTTTCTTTGCTAATGACATTTGTAGTTTTGATTTTTACTACATGTGATATGTTTTTCTTTACTAGAAGCATCTATAGTTAAAATTTCAAAGAAATATCTTAATAAATAAGGAAGTTGGCACTGACTGCGCATGCGCACATCTAATGTTTGCAATATCAGGTATATTTGCCTTTAACATAAGCATCTGTGATTAAAACTTCAAAAAGATATCTCGATAAATAAGACAGTTGATATTGCGCATTCTGCTCATGCGCACAATAATCTGATATTTACAATATGCGATACGTTTGCTGTTACTAAAAGCATCTTTGGTTAAAATTTCAAAGAAATGTCTCCATAAATAAGAAGATTGGCATTGCGCAATCTGCGCTCTCACATGGGATTTTTACTATATGCGATATGCGTTACAAGAAGAAAGTATGAAAATTATTCAAACGTTCTCTTAGTAACAAAATATTTCCGTGGTCTGTGCGGGTAGCCTTGCAAACGACCCAAAGTTTTTAATGTACCTAATTATTTAAAATTTTATGCCTGAACTTCTTTTGCGTGAAATACTTGGCTATTCTTTGCAGTTCTTCAAATACTTTGGAAAACCGCCGGTAGTTACTCAAAAAAATTTTAAATTTGAATCGAAATTTTATATTTATTTTGTAGTAAAAGTATCATCATTTTGGATAGTTTACTGCAATGGTGCATCTGTTGACGTGTTATCTGTAATAGCACAGATATATCTTTACGTATATATGTGGTAATAGGAAGTTTTTGCGTCATGGTAATAGAAATAAAAATTCAGATTCTAGCATATCAGAAAGACTAGGTATATTAGTAGTTCTACGATCAAGGTATGAAGGACAGGGACCCTTCCCCCTCCCACTACCTGAGATGTTGTTTTAGCAAGTGAAAATTGGATAAATGTTAAATGAAAACGATTCAAAATATAATCTCTGATAAGTTGGCCCTTAGTGGTGCCAAATACACTATATACTCGTACTACGAGTGGGATGTAGTAGTAAAAATGATTCTCTCCTTTATAGTATTCTAATTACAGGTTTGAACTTGTTTTCTATCAGTAACCTGCCCCCCCCCTCACCCACCTTCCCACTCAATATCACTTGCACTTATCTGTTGTTTCCATTTATCCCCTAGTTTGTATAGAAAAAAGGTTAAATCCATTATTTCAACTAGGAGATTGGAATTGCTTCTATAACATGCTTAGTGCTATCGAAGTGCTAAAATATCCGCCTCTTCTGCAGATAGCAGGTTCAGGCTTGTATCCTGGGGTTCCCAGGAAAGGTTCAACACCATCTAGAACTTGGTTTTGCTTCCTCATCTGGCAATTGCGTTTAATGCATACCAAATCACGTAAAAATTAGTTTTTTTAAAATACTTTTTAAAACGGTGAGAGACTATACTTTTATGTGCACTTAATTACTGGTTTGTGGACCTTGTAAAATATCAAACAAGGAAACAAAGGTGTATTACAGAAATTACAGCATTCGTAATAGACATTTAAATAAGTAAAATTGGCAAAACCTTTAAAGTTTTAAATTTGCAATGCCTTCCAAGATTTTTTGGTCTCTTTAACGTTTCGAGCTCCTTTACACCCTTATTTTGTTATGAATTGGTACTTTTTAAGTCCTTGCGTGATTCCCATGCAAATCTCCGTGATTACCAACACTATTGTACGAGTTGTATCTTTCGAAATAACAACATTCGTCATTATACAGCATTCTGCAAACGAGTAAATGGAGAATAGGAACTGTATGACGACTGTAAACCATCAGGTAGCCTTATAGTGGAATAGATCCATTAATAATGGTAACAAAAAACATTCCTGGAGTTAAGTTTAGATTACTATTCTAAAACTTCAAAATCATAAAGAAAAACAAAGTTTTGTTTGCCTTTAGATTTTAGATGTGTATAGCTATACCTGGATGCATATATGGCTCCGGGATTCTATGGTTTACATTATCTAGGAATGCATGCATTAATGTCAATCCTGTTTCTTACAGAGTTTGGTTAAGAAAACTGATAAACGATCATATTCCGAATATCTGCTCAATCAAGATCGATAGAAAAGTCTTCAATGTTTTCTAATATTTTATACGGTTTATTTTGACAAAGATCTAGTTTTACAATTAAATTTATCATGACGTAACATGATTGCAACAATAATTTTCTGCCAAGGATTACTATGTACTACATATAAATTATTGTTCATAAAGTACAATTATATTACAACCCAGAACTATAATGTGACTCGCCGCTGTTGATTGCGTTTTTTTTAAGAACCAGTCATAAATTTGGTCTTCCCACAATATTTTAGTATTTTTTTTTGTTTTTCTCGCAAACTAAAAACGTTGGAATCGTAATCTTTGAGCACAAAACAGCACTAACAATCAAATGTGATTGATCAGCTACCTCTTAAGAATCTTCCCAATCCTTTGAAGTTTCGACGGTAGACTTTTTTATCTCTGTGGCAAATATATCAGTCATAGTTTGGTATCTTCCAACTTGGGATATGGCATGTGCCGAAATTTGAGTCAGTCACTGCTCTTGAAGCATAGGTTTTCTACATAACCAAAGTCAAAGACTTCTTTGCCAAGTTTCCTACCAAAATTCAGATCACAAATCAAGCACTTTTCTGACTAGCAAGAGTGTGCAATTACTGTTAAAATCATGTTTGTACCTACTTTGTTTGCAAATATTCAAATATTTTAAAGCGAACATGCCTTACTACTAACGTCAATAAGTTATCAGTAAGAAACTTTCGTCCTAGTAAAAAAGGAGCATTTTGTTTTCTTAATGGCGAAAAGTACTATCGTAAAAGGTACTTTGAAACGCATGTTCTAAACGATTTTATGTTTTGTATTACACATCTATGCAGGTTTTCCAAAACGTTATGATTTTGAAATTCCCAAATGTGAAACCTCCGAATGTTTCTAAATGTGACTCATGTGAAAACAACGCTGTTAAAAACCCGATTGTAGTATTAAATCTCCATATAATTATAAACTATCGAAGTCATGTTCATCTGCAAAGAGTAAATTGGATTTAAACAACGGCATGCGAAACAATCCATCCGTCGAAATTGAGACGGTCTTTGTAAGAGAATTAGATCGGATTAGTGCACGTCGAGTATAAATTCGGTTAGTTTCATTTTATCTCGATGTCCATCCGAGGAATTAAATGAAAGGAGAAGACATGCCTAATCTGAATTTCATTCGTGTAAAGCTATAGGTATTGAATTTATGAGAATACGTAAAAAGCATAAGGGGTGGTGTTTTTTTATTTTACATGACAAAAGTGTATGAATGTGGGATTTGACAAGTGGTCGAATTACAGATAACGCCGCGGGGAATTAATTACATTATACTCGATACAAAGCATTCGATTTGTTCGGGTGCTCTGTCCCAATGTACACGCTACATGTGGTCCCGTTTGGGTGATCGTTTTTGTATCGAAAAGTGCTTTTCAAGCGGGTCACGCGTAAACAGATTATCGGTGCCGTTTCTACCTTTGATGATTTCTCGTATTTGGTATAGTAGCTAATGGCTATTTACAAATAAGTAGATATACATTGATACGATTTTCATTTTTTCATATTTTACGTCTAATTTTGGTCTCTCCCTGGTATAGTTAGACTATAGGTAGGTACTACACCGTATGCTTATTTTTATTTTGTGGAAAATAGTTGATCTAGAGCCAAATAAAGAGAGATCAGAATTAGATGTTTGGATATTCGAATTTTTCTACCAGATACATACAGAAGTTTTCAATTAACTTTCCACGTCTTTACTCCCACACTCGCCCTACCATAGCGCCGTCACTGCTAGTGTCACAAATTTAAAACCCCATCTTTCGATGGAGACTGCCATTTTACTTGCTGTTATTGTTAGTGGATTGTACAGAGGTGGTCACAACGATTGTTCCACTTAAAGTTTTGATTGATGTGCACTCCTAACAATTCGGACAAGTCAGTATAGTCTTTATAGATAACCTCATTTAAAATTTAGGGAAAATTACTATGCTCTGTAGTGAAATCCATGTTTTACCCCTTATCGGTGATCCTAGTGTAACCAAAAATAATTTCCAGCACACCTACTATATTGGTGAAGTACAGCTCTTTGTCGAGTGAGTAATACGCAATTAGTTTAAAACTACACACAAAAATCAAGTGAACTTACCGTCTTTGTTCATGCTGGCCTGAAAGCATTTGTGCAATCTGCAAGCTCTGCATTGGTTTCGATGCGTTTTATCGACCGGGCACCTTCCCTTCATTTCACCTGTAGCTTTGCAAGTGTAAACACGGTTTCGATGAATGCTGCGTTTAAAGAAACCCGAACAACCTGCAAAATAAATAAACAATCAGGTCCTGTTAAATTACGTTATATAGCTTCATTTACCATCGCAGCTATAGATCCCGTAATGTTTTCCCGAACTTCTGTCGCCACATACCTTACAAGGTATATCTAATAATCTGTCACCTGAAAAGAATATCCGTTACTGAATAAACTAATTAGCATAGGTACTCATTTTATCTCATTGTTTGTTAAATAAAACTTATAGCCAGAAGATGACGGTTACGTCGAAACTAGTCGCAACTTTTTATTCCACAATTTAATCAAAATAAATTTAGACGCATCGGGAAGGTTTTGAGTTATTAATTCTCCCTAATTTCTTCGATGTCCACCCCATTGCGAGTTCAAGAAAACATGGATACCCTCAATTTAGCATACTCATGTTAATCTGCCCGCTGATAATGCTGATATACTGTCAGGTGCAACAGGGAGAGTAACATTCTAATATTTTTTGGAACGAGGCGTCTGTTACGAATCGATCGAGTCACTCCGATGTTTTACAAAAAGTAACAGAAAGTAAATTGTGCGATCCTTAATTCCAGAAATCACGGGGCTTTAACTCCTGCCACGATAGATTCATTGTTATTGCTATACATGTTTGAACCTTATGGTAAACGTTATGCCTACATTATGTAGGGTTATGTATAAGGATTACTGATGTAAAGCAAGAATGTATCCATAGTATTACCAATTTTTCAACCCACACATTTGTAAATCAGTGTCCGAACCATTGTCATACCTTCAGCGGAATGGTTTTGGATTTTAACCGTCATGATTTGTTCGAATTTTCACCAATTCCACGTGAGGAAAACTACGTCTCTTTCTTTTCTTGTGAATTTGCATCTCAGTAAGAAACGAGTACATTATAAATCTTGAACATAAAGTCTCTCTTAATATAACATATTGTGTCAACATTTTTCTGCGGGGTGGCCCACTGAAAACAGTGAGTGCCAATTTTTGGCCGCTTCACGACCGTTTTGCGAGACACGCTCGAACAAGTCAATTTTAGTTTTGAGGGAGACATCTAAATTAAATAATACTATTTATACAACTTCAACCCCGAGAAGGGGGTGAATTGCACACAAAAAAATTTTAAATGGTAAGGGGTGGTAAAATAGATAGTTCGATACGCATGTTTATTCTGTTTTTAGTTTTCAATTTCGCTAGGTAGGTAGTTACAGAGAAAACTCGATTTAAATGGATTTGCAGCGCCCACTTAGTAAAAGTAACAATTATTCAAAATTACAGAAAACTATCACTTTATTTAGTGTTCAAAATTCCCACCACCAACTTTCATACAATAGTAAAGATTTAGTTCAAAATGGCGTCGTAGGTTTGTAACATTTTTGGGGTAATTTGGATGTATTCGTATACGATACGTTGTCGTAATTCTTCTAATTTATTGAAAACAAAATGAACATTCCCTTCGAACTATCTAACGTTTACCACCCCATCCCATTTAAAATTTTTAGGATGCTATTCACCTCCTTGTAAGGGTGCAGTTACGAAAAAAAATTATTTAATTTAGATGTCCCCCTCAAAACTAAAATTGATGTGTTCGAACGATTCTGGCAAAACTGTCATTAAGCGGGCAAAATGGACATATTGACTGTTTTCAGTGGGCCACCCTGTATATCAAGATAGAATTGGTAACTTTATTATACTGTCCCCAGCAGGTTTCATGAAATTGTTGTTGTCACAGCTTTAAAATCTCTATGGAAGCTTGAAACAGCTTCACAGTTTACAGCATAAGATGACTATCGACACTCGCGTTCATTTTGCCGAACGATTTTGTCCGGGACGCAACAGCCGGCCGGCCAGTTTTCACTACAAACGTACAGCTGGCCGGCCGGCCAATTCTTCAACCATTTTTCAATAATAAACATTTGAGTATGTTTTTCCGCAATGCCGGATACATTCATGAGGTATACACGAGATACAAAGAATCTTTAGCGCTAATGGTAGAGTATGTAATTTTGCACAAAGGATTCTGGGACGGCATGTATGTATCTTAACCCTTTTACGCATTATAAGCATTGAAAGGGATGACCGACGTATAGACATGGAAATAAACAAACAACTCCTTTAAATGGCTATTATTCAAAAACGGTTGCACTCTTCGCGGACTTTCTTGTAGAAATGTAGTCTCTTTAATTATTAATCTTCTATACATTTTTTGGTGTATCTACATTACGATTTGGTTTTAAAATAAATGCGCGAGAAAGTAATTTTCTTAAGAAAACTGTATAAGTAGGTATAACGTTAGATTTGCCATCACGTCCAAGTCCAATACTCCGCAGTGCTTCATCGCAGGAGATATTAATTTCGAACACCGAGGGTAAGTATTACTGACTTTTCAGTACTGAGGGGGTTTCGACCCTTAGCACTACACAGTAGCGGAGTTTTGTTCTTCCGTCGGTCCTACCATTTCATAGTTGTCACTTTGTTTTGCTTTAAAACGGTAAAACACCTTGATCAGAAATTATGCGGTCCTCTCATATTGGGGATTATTTTCAGGCGCTCTGCAGAAGAGCATATGTTTTTCCTTATGTCTTCTCGAACTGGCTACATGCTACATTCAATAGCCCACTTAGATTATTTGTGATGAATCAGGCGCATAATTTTAAGATGCGTGAATTATGAAGGGAAGCTCTCATGTTATGTGCAATATTTACTCTACATTCCATTATTGTTTAACCGTAAATTCTTAGTCCATTTTGAAGTATATTTATGCGTTCGTGTATCAATATAAAGAAAATTTCGGATAGGTATATCAAAAACAATTCAACCCTAAATTATGCGCGTTTATAGAGACAGTGTCAGTAATGAACACATTTCAGTCATCCACCTCTGACATCAGTGCATTCTACTATTTGTAAAACATGTATCAAATAAATCAAGTTTATGACAGCAGTAAGTACATTACACGTAAGCTAAAAGGACGGCCGAAAATCATCAATCTGCCTAAAGCGTTTCACAGGGTTTGGGTTTAAGGCACGATTAACGGAAACGGAAATTTAAGGGAAGGTGGACTTTTCGTAAAGCGCTTTCAATTGTGACAGACCTTTTAAAAGTTATAATCTACGTAGGTATTGTCTCTAATGAATGAGAAACGAGCACTTTAAGAGCGAAAATACAAAATTTGATTTCATGCCAATGAAACATTTATAATATTAAATCTTACCCGTACCCATCCTTCGCCCGTGACCGGAGCGAGGTTTTGTCCAAATCGAAGAATCAATTTTGTCGATTATTAATTGGGGTGCAATAATTAGGTAAGCAACTACTCAATATGGGTAAACTACGATGATATCAGTAATTTAACTTCATTTCACTATAGCGCTAATTAATAAATAGTGCAAAGCTTTTGCCCTTATGGCTAAAATACGACTATCCGACTGATTTTCAGCCAACAGCTTCGGTCTGCAGGCCATTTTGTCACCACCCCTACTTACTGTAATGTCATCCCCACTCCTACCGAACCACCCTCTTGAATGTTGTAGGTTTGTGTTTTGTCTTTGAAAGTAATTGTTCAGGCGTACAACTGTCTTATTAACGTTGAATATCAAATCAATGGATAAACATTAAATCTCAGCCATCCCCTAAACCAACCACAACAAATTGCTGTGAAATACTTAATAACCTACATATGTCTACTAATTCTTAATATTCTGTTGCCCCTAATACGTACAGGAGAAAGTTAGATGAGATGCTGAAATTAGGTCGTCCTGATTTCCCAAAGAGTTGGAGATGCTAGCTCCGAAACTTTTCAGCAGGTGGATATATGAAACAATGTCGAAAGCAATAATGTGATAAGTTATTGTGGAACATAATTTTTGCAGGGGGTAGTTGTAAATCGGTAGCAAAATGTACTGACCCGGAATGTGCATGGGGGCGTAACGACCTGGTGGGGTAGCTTCTAAAGCTTTCTGATAGGCGAATTCATCGAGATGTCAACCAATCACGGTGTTTGAAGGTGAACGTCACTTTACAGTCTTGTAACTTCTCGCTTCAGCTGAAGCCTGAAACGGGATACATTTAGTAGAATTTTCTTAATAGGGTTTTGTTATTAATGCAAGAACGATATTCATGTAAATGAATGTAATTTTAAAGACCGTTTAACGACTTTGAGTGGTTGCGGTTTATTTTTCATGCGTTCTTTTTATCATACTGCTGAATCTGAAAGTGATTTAAATTCTCTCATTACATATTCCAAAGCACGCCGAATTTTTGTGAGCTGTTCAGTGGTCCAGAAATCATTATCTCCAGTTCTTAGTCAGAGGCATTGCGTTTGATTTATTGGAAACACCACCATTTCAGTCAGTTCTAATTTGACACCTCATGCCCCATTTAAATAGAACTAGCGATTTACGGAAAAGTGCCTAAAGAGTTGGAACGCTCCCTTAAGAAGTGAGTAAAATATCGAAAGTCCCTAAGTTTTTTTCAGTTTTTTGCTTATTATCTCTGAAACGATTACTCATATCGTTTTTACCTCCATGCCAAACCCGAAACTGGTAAAATTTCTTCAAACGTGGTTCTTTGGATTGCTGTCATATAGGACTAACAATAAGAGGGTTATACAATTTTTAAATTAATGTTAAATTACGGTCTTCTAAATCAGATGTCTTTAACAGTGAAATATCTTGTAACATCATTTACCGTAAGGGAAGCGAACGCATATTCCGCGGATATAAATATCCTGTCGCTTTTCACCAAACGCTGCAGTTGAAAATGTCAGTTCATGCATATGGAGATTATGTGTAGGTTTTAATGGTGCGCCGAGACACCGTCTAATGAATTCCAATATTTCAATTTACCCTGAGGTTTATTTAAAATTCAGTGTTAAACAAAATCGTCATTTTCTGAAATGAGGTCTGTGTTGTCAGCCCTGTGTAGCTCGTTTAAGGTTAGTTCTACTTTTCATTTCAGTCCATCTTTAATTTTCGAGATGAGGTTATAGTATATTGAAACACAAGTGTTACAATGCGACCTATTGTAATACGACTATCTTGTGGCACGAGTGGCGACGCGAAGCGTAGCCACGAGTGTCCGCAAGATAGGAGTATTACAATAAAGCATTGTAACACGCGTTTTTCATACTATTTTTTCTATTTCGGTGCTTTAATTTAATTAAAAAAATCATTATCAGAAACTATAGGGAACATTAGAACTAACATGTTTTATGTTGGGAACACTTTTTATGCCGTTAAGTTTTAGGTTGGCAGCGTAGTAAGACTGACATTTTGAAGTTCAAACATGGAAGTACCCAACGAAGTACCTACTTGTACTAACTAGTAACTGCCAACTTAAGAGATGAGTTACCAAAAAAAAACGACTATAATCACTGTCTTTGTACAACTGTTTTCGGCCGAAAACAGTTGTACAAAATCATCATTGTGACACCGAAATAGAAAAAAAATGTTATAAGTGATCGTTTCCGAGGTAGGTATTAACATATAGCCGAAAAACTGTACTTTTAAACCCCTCTCCCTACTTGAGGCCACCCTCACACGCTTGGGAACGTTAGATATATTTTTAAGAAAGCGTAAAAGAAGCGTTAAAAAAATTCAGTAAGCTTTTTATCCAATTTGTCTAATTTAACTAGACTGCATAGGAAATAACGTATGACCTAAATGCAAAAAAGTTACTTAGTTACATTATATATGATGACAAAAGGTCTCACCTGTATGTCGGAACCTTCCTTTTTCAAACCTGGTAGAAATTTCAGTTGTGGATCGACGCAATGGCATCGGAACTAAAGTTCATTATTAAGAATGACATATATAATATATATAAGCCCCACTCGATCTAATTGTAATCCGTGTGTGTTTTATTTCAGGCGAGTGGAAGAGATACTCATCCTGACGGCGTCGATGATATTGTGTTATCTCAAAGGACAAGAAACAGATCAAAGAATTTTAGACTTACCTATTGAAAGATGGTTGACGCTTTGATCAGAAAGAAACTAGGCTTTAGGTATATTGAAATTTGGTAGTTGAAACCAAGCGTCGGTAACGTTTTTTTATACCTGTAAAGGTATAGAGATAATCCGTCCCTCATGCTCCGTAAGAACGATCTTTATAACCGGAAACACTATGGTGTTTTGGGTTTTATCTGCTTGCACACTCGCCTCTTATCATTCGAACGCTTCTTAGTTCAATTATTATATATCATAAAAATTTGTAACCAATGGCTTTTGCGTATGCGTTCCGATTTTGTAAAATATTTGTTCAGATGTGCGCAACACATGTTATGCAAAAAAAAACAAATTTGTTTCATTGTAACCCTGCCGTTTTTGATAATCCTGTTTTGAGAGAGCACGACACTAGATCACCACACAAATTTTAAATAAATTCGCACACTACTCATTATAGTAGGAGTGCTGGTCGATATTTTTGGCACGCTGAAAACTATTCAATTCGGTTTTAAGGAATCACAGTCAACAATACGAGAGCACAAAATAATTTTTGAATGAATCACCAAACTATTACTGTACCGTCTCCCAAGTTCACTGTTCCCCAATATACCAAAACCAATTTCTATTGTACCCTTAGGGTTTTTAGGGAATCCGGTGTCTAATGATTACGATCCACCTCACAAATGGATTGAAAAGACGCCATTCAGAATAATCAGAATAATTCAGAGAATGCAAATAATTGTACGAACCCCACGGAGCTGAAAAATATAAAGAATAAAGAGAAGGAATTTTAAAAATGTCAATAATAGGAAGAGGTCGAAGAAAAAGAGAAAGGTGCACAAACTTAGAAATTATGATGAAAACATCTATATAATCATTAGAATATGAAGGTTTCAACTAAATGGTGAAAATGAAAAGAAAATATCCAAAAAAAAACTGAAGACTCTGAGGAATCATTTGTCATCTGACGAACCTAAAGATTACCTCAGTGTCAAATGTGTAATTAGAAATTATTTTGGTAGATTGCCGTACAGTGGATTTCGAAAAGGGTAAATTAATCGTGCTGAGGTTTTTCAAAGTCATTCTGGTACTCTGGTGAAGTGGGACGCGATTTCTGATCCGGATGGGATACTTTGGAAACGAGCTTTACTTCTGAGGAAGATTAATTAATAGTTTGGGAATTTATTCAAAATTGGTCTGGTGTTGTCATGAAGCTGCTGGTAACTTTTTGAAACCGGATTTTCAAAAAACGGCAGGGTACAATAATATACATTATTCTGTTTAGAACCGCATATTTTTCCGGTCCAAGTGCTCGAGAGTGTACTCTGCTCAGTTTCTTGGAATACTCCCATATGAGGTTTTGACCCCATGCACGGATGCATTTCGTCCAGATCTATTCCCTTTGTGAATACCTACCGTTCTCTGAAAGTTTGTAAACAGATCAGCTTCTATTGATCAAAGTTACTGTTACAATTTTAATAAAATGGATCCACAACAAAGAAAATTAATATTGTTGTTGAATTGCTCCATTTGTAATTAGTGTGTAGTGAAATACAACTACGTTACTTTAAGAAAATTAACTTTACAGATGCGAAGTACAGACTGACGGAAGATTTAAAGCTATATATACCCTTAATAATAGACTGGGTTTCCACAGCCGCAGTATGAGTTTCACCTTACTACAACCAAATCGGAATACATGTCAAAGGTTTGAAAAGCACCATATCACCTATAGTTCCTATCCCTTACAAGAAACAATAAAATTTAATCTGCCATACCAACTGTGTGTACTATTTTCTGCCTTAAAAATCCACGAGGGCATGGTGAAACAAGGTAGCTAAACAAGCATTACACTTATTTTTACAAGATTGAAAATGGGGGTGAAATATCCACATACTGTATATTATATGCTCGTTTACTAACACTTGTTTAATTTTTAAACACAATGCTATACAACTTGCTCTAATATTTATTGTTTGTGTATGTACTACTGACTCTACTTTCTTCAAATGAGCTATTTGAGAAGAATATGAGGAATAAATAAATTGATTATTTATAGACTTTCAAATTGTCATGCACGGACAGTCTTTTAAGGACTAATTGCTAGCCAGAAAAGAACAGTATTCCTTTAGAGCAGTCTTTTATATAAAATTTTCATTTCTGAAGCAACTCCGTAGAATGTCGTTAACATCATCAAGTAACCCCAACAATAAGTTAGTAATCCCAATTTTGCTGCGGCGAAAGGGTTACTTGCACAAGTTTGCAAAGGGATCTTGCCATTTACCGCTTATACTCCTGAAAACTTGACAATCCTGTAGAATTTCAGCAGAGGGAATTAAATCGCAAAAGCTGCGAGACTCTGAAAAGCTTATAAAATATTCGTCTCATCTC